AGCTTTATTCAAAGACAATGTTTAGTCTCAATCAAAACATTCCACTATCGCTCTTTATATACTTAAACCGGACTACTAGAGGCACCATTAAAGAGAGATCACTTTTGCCCAGAGATGTGATGAAAGTTATTTTCCTCGGCGGCCCTTATTTATGCCCACCGCTGAACTGCCGGTGCCCCTGAGTAACACTTTGGCACACTGTTCTCCCTGATTTAACAGGTTGCCCCATAATGAGGCATGAATGTTAAGGAACAACAGTCATCCAAAGAGGCACAGTTGCAGAGAGCAATGTCCCACCAGGGAGCTCCATTCAAACCATCAAACCGCTCCGGCACAGAGAAGGTTCAACACCACATTCAGACCAGCATGAATGCCTGTATACAGGGCTCGGCTCATTATGCCTCAGAGCACCGCAGCGGAGGCTGAAACAAAATGCTGCAAGTTCATTCAGCAGGCCATACTCCGGCGGGGCGGCCCAGCCGACGGCTCCCGGGGTGACCTTTTTCCCAAATGGCTTTGCCCCGACAGGGCTGCCCTTCCCCGGGCTGCAGGACGGGACGGCCGGGGACTCCCGTCCCCTCCCGAGACGGCCCTGAGGCTCCCGTCCCTGTTCGAGCCGGCCCCAGGGCTCCGCGGCAAGGAGATGGGGATGCAAGGCACCGGGCGGAGATCGGCGGAGAGGCTTACTGAGACCCTGTAACATGGAAATCCACTTTAAATCGAAGAGACCAGTACGGTCTGAGCGTCTTTTCTCTTACTTTTCTCTTTTTACCTCTCTCTTTTCCTTTCTTTTCTTTCCTTCTTTCCCCTTTCACCCCTTTCCCCCCCTTTCCCTTTCCCCCTTCCCCCTACCCCTTCCCCTTTTCCCCTTTCCCCTCCCCTTCTCCCTTCCCCTTCCCCCTTTCCCCTCCCCTCCCCTCCCCTGCTCCTTCCCCCTTCCCCCTTCCCCCTTCCCCCTTCCCCCTGTCCCCTCCCCTTCCCCCGCCATCCCCGCCCCGCCCTCCCCGTCGCCCGCCCCGCCCCTCCCCCGCCCCGCCCCTCCCCTCCCTTCCATGTCCCTTCCCTTCCCTTCCCTTCCCTGCCCTTCCCTGCCCCTTCCCCTTTCCCCCTTCCCCGTCCCCGTCCCCGTCCCTTCCCCGTCCCCTTCCCCGGACACCGTCCCCTTCACGGATCCCCTCCCCCCTCCCTTCTCCCCTTCCCCTTCCCCTTCCCCGTCCCCTCCCTTCCCCTTTCCCTTCCCCTTTCCCTTCCCCTTTCCCTTCCCCTTCCTTTCTCTTTTGCAACTTCCCTGTATCTTTTCCTTGATCTCGCTCACCTTCGCAAATTTCAGCCGCTCTTTCTCAAACCCCCTTCCCTTTATCTCCCTTTTCTCTGTTTCGTTCCTTCCCATCACATCCATCCCTCCCCCGTGACGCCGCCCGCAGCCACCGCCCCGCCGCGTCGCTGCCGGTGCCGGTGCCGCTGCCCGGTGCCCAGTGCTGCGGGCGGGCGGGGCCGGCTGGCGGGGCCGAGCGGCTGCGGCCGGGCCGGCGGCCCCCAACCAGCTGTGCGGTGCAGACGACATGCGGGTGGGATATTAAAGCAGCTTTTGAATAGTATTCAGGTTCTATGGGAATCCGGGCAGATGACAGGAGCTCGATTTGGTATTCGTATTGTTAATCGTGAGCGTCAGCCCAGATCTGATTCAAGCACGTTTTGTGCTCGTTAAAAATTCCAGTGTAGGGGCTGTTTTTTTTTTTTTTTCTTTTAGCCCAGCTTCAATTGGAGGCGAAACTTGCCGCATAAAGTATTCAAAGTCTGTCTAAAGTTGCCTTTTAACCGGATTCCCCCCCTCCTGCAACCCCCACCATATCTCTTGGTTCTTTCGGTTGACATGGTGCAAATAAAAGTCAGTAAACTTGTTGCTGAATTGCAATGTTTCGGTGTACCTTATAAATTCATACCTTTTCTCCCTCGATCGCCTCAGAATGAGTCCCTGCCTCAATTCGATTTTCCTTGCTGTTGGGCACATTTAGGAGAAAGTCTATTTGTGAAGTTCATTTCTAGGCAAATGTATTCAAGAGCTGATTGGGATGAATAGGACCGTGTGTCAGCCGCCCCTAATTGGGATTAAAGCACTTCGGACCATATGCAGAGAGTGACAGAAATTCTCAGGTTTCATTGTGCTCAGACTTCCACCCGCCTGGACACTCCCCCTGGAAAAGGGGGATTTTTAAAGATTTCAGGGAGAAACTGAGGAAATAAAGGAGACGCAGAAAAATGACCGGACTAATGTCTCTGCGGGGATGCCAGCGTGGCAACTGCCGGGAACAAGAAGTGGCAGTGGTGGGCAGTAGCGAGAGCCCTGGCACTGGGTTTCCCCTTAGAGGGAAGGGCAGTAAGCCTCGGCTTTCTCGTTCCCGGTTTGTATTCGGGCTTAGAAACCCTGGGGGTTTATATGGGAGTGAAAACCCTCACGGGAAAACTTCCCTGGGTGATTCTAGCCTAAGGAACAGGCTCCCAGGGGAGAAGGGAGGCAGGGAGAGGAGATGCGAGTATCAGGGAGACGCCGCTGCACACCCAGGCCAGGGCTGGTATCAGGGAAATGAATTTTTCGGAGATGCGGTCCTGCTGCAGCAGAGACGGCCGAAGGTTGTACTCCCTGCTCGGGCCTGCCCGATCTGGCAGAAGATGCCACGGCCCAGACTGGATGATCTTTCAAGGGTTTCTTTCAATCCAAACCATTCTGTCAGTCTATGTTTCTAACCCAAAGCTGCTCCACCTCCATATCCACCCATCGCCCTATCTGTCCATCTGTGCGTTTGCCTACCAGCCGTGCCCGAACAGCCCCGGCAGCGCAAAGCATCCTGCCGCTGTAGACTCTGCGCTTGTGGGGCCGTAGTGAGACGCCACCTCCAAAGCTCAGGCCTGGCCTCGACACTGTGACTATTCCATGTGTGAGTTCATCTGGGTGTGGTAGCCCAAAACATGGCGAGAAAATTATTTAGGTTAGTGATTTTTAAACTCTGTGGTCAGTTATCGGAATGACGATGTTTAATCACATCACGATCAGACGGGGAAGAGCCTGTACCGCTATCGGGGCCTTTGTTTGCAGAGCTAATTTGTCCCAGCGTGGTGATGAAAAGCTAGTGACCGTCTGCTGCTCTCGTCCGTTGCACTCTCCTCTGGAAATCAGCTATCTCCCCGACGGGGCGGTTTTGTGCCGAAGTACCCGGCAAGCCTGTGTCCCGCGGAGCCCGGCAGAGCTCGGCAGCCCCGGGGTGATACGGAACAACCTTCTTTGGTGATGGAGAGCTAGGTGTCCCCTCCGCTCGGGAAATGCCCTGGCACTATCAATAGGCTGGTCCGTGGCAGTGGGAAGGGTCCTACTCGCGCCACCTGATTATGCCCCTCACTTATGCGGCCACCTTCCAACGCCCCGTGGGTCTGGTCGGGTGGGGAAAGCAAATGGGGCTGACCAAGGCGAAGTGTGCCCAGTGTCCTGGGCACGGTGCCCTATTTCCAGCTCTGCGCTGGGCTCGGTTTGCGACATGCAAAGCCCGGCTGTCCTGGAAAGCAGCGGTACGACTCTTAACAGCAAATGTTGCTGAAATCTCAGATCAAGGACTGAAGTCCGTTCTCTGGGGTGGGTTTGCCCCTCCATTCCGCCCCTGGTAAGTGGAAGATGTAGTTTAGGGGAGACTCACAGAGCCCTCCACGTCTCCTCCCGCACCGCCAGGTGCCCGGCATTCATATTTCTGCAAGACAAAGAGCGGCGGGCACGGTCGTGCGTCGCGGTGTGCGGGGGGCCGCCGCTGAGCCCGGGAGAAGCCACTGACTTAATTTCGCCGCAACCGCGGCTGGCTACGGGCCGGCAAAAAAGTCTAGCCCTGACATACCTCTGCCCCGAGACGGCTGCGATATGTGAATGAAAAAAGAAAGGGCATTCCCGCGCCAGCCGACACCGTTGCCCCAGCTTTCGGAGGCGGGACGCGGCAAGTTTACCAGCACAGCCCGAGCCCTGCCAGGGCGCCCTGCGTTTGCCTCCCGCCGAGCCAAACCTTGGCCTCTGCCCGAGGAGAAAAGCGCGGCCGAGGGCCAGGGCGAGGGAACAGGCGCCCGGCCTCCAGCTGCCCATCGCTCCCGAGATACCCGCGGAAGGGATGTCCAGGACGCCCCAATGCCCGGAGGCTGCTTCTTGGGGTAAAGGTAGAGCTTCGCGCAGCTGCCTACAGCTACAGCATCCTTACGTGTCACAGACACATCAGAGGCAGCAGGGATGCGGGGTTGCCTGTGAGCCCGTACATGCGCACCCGGGTATTTATAAGTCGGTGTGCTGGAGTCACTGTGATCGTTTCTTTCCATGGTTTTTGTGACAGGAACGCAGGGATGAAGACCCTTCCTCTCCTTCCTGACCGTCACTCAGAGACAGAGCTGTGATTTATTGAAAACCATGTGGAAAAGCCAAAGGTTACCGAACGTATGCGGGACCTATGCATTAGGAAACATCTGCAAAAGTCTGCGTGGTGCCTAGGAACCGAGTTGTTCCTGTGCTCCGGGAGCAGCAGGATGAAGAAACAGAGGGTGCTTTTCTCCCTCTCCGTCCTGCAGCATCAAATATCCCCGGGAATCCCAGAGCTATATTCTGATCCAAGCTCACTCTGAGTCGGGCTGTGTAAAGACAGTGGTTGTAACACTTAAATCAGGTTCCCTCCACCTCTGGGCAGGCAAGCTAGCATTGGCTTTTTATTTCAGCCTGGGCTTTAATTGTTTGGGTTTTTTAAAAATACAGTGGGAGTACCATTCTCTGAACGTTTCCACAGACTGTCTCTATCCGTTCTGACAGCTTGATAGATCCTAGCCCGACCCTGAATCTCTTCCAGGGATGAAATTGTGCAGCGATAGGGGAAGCCAAATCACGCAGGCAGAGCGCTCATCCCGCAAAGCTCCCTTCCTCATCCTCAGAGGACTGCTCTGCCGTGCTCAGCTCGGCTCAAGGCGAAAAAAAATTACACACAGTGTAGATTTGTTGCATTTTACTCAAGAGCTTACAGGGAGGTTCATCTCTTTTAAAATCAGCCCTGTGTTTACAGAAGAGTTGCAGCTGTAAAACGAGGCACTTAATTTCTGTAAATCTTCTCCCTAAGGGGCAGCGTTATAGTACGGTAACAGCAACGAGATAGCTGGAGCTTATGTTTCGTAGGAGGATGCCAAGGACCTCGGGAGAAGCAAGTGCCATCAGTGCCAGGACAGGAGCGGGGAGCCGGGGCGCGGACGAGGGAAGGCGCCGACCCGCTCCAGCGGCGGACGCCCGCGGTTCGGTAGTCGGGAGGTGAAAACGGTGGTGGTTTTGCCTGTTAAGCTCCCACCGAATCCAGCGCTTGATCTGAGGAGAGGCAGGGGAAATAAATCATTGGTACGGAAGAGAGAAAGGGATGAAAAAATGGTAGCTGCTGGAAGGAAGATCTCTCTGTGCAGTGGCACCAGGGAGCAGAGAAGAGCTTGCTGGCTGGCTGGTAACAGTGTAAATGGAGAAAGAGAGGTTTTGCCAGCGAGCAGGAGAAAGGGCTATAAGAGAGCTGACTTCCTAATGAGCGCATATAATGTTGTTAAGGGTTTTGCCGTTTTATGCTGAATATACGACTTTTCAAGATACGGCTATCAGCAAGAAGAAAAAAAAATAGAACTTTAGCAAAAATGCAGCCTTCGGAAACGGTTCGTTACACTCTGGTAAACATACCCTCATGGTGAAATTGTTGATGGGGGTGGGAAGCAGAGTAAGAAAACGCATCTTCTTCTAGTATGTGCAGCTCTCTAATTAATGAATTTGACAAACTGAAAGGTCTTTCTCTAGTCCCTGTGACTTGACTTTTTTTTTCTTTTTTTTTTAACCCAATAAAGATATTCGATACAAGAAATTCTTTGATTTAGATATGCTTATATCGCAGGTTAAATCCACGTTATCTAAGCTTATCAAGTATTCCAAGAAGTACATTTCTTTTTCTTCTGTTTATTTTGCCATTGTACATTCTGATGCTGAAATATGCAGCATTTCTGACAGATTCGGAGTTATAAGACCAAAGAAACTTGTAGGTGTCATCTGTCAAAAATAATTTTTCGTTATAGCCTGTAGATGTAATGTTGTTCTTTCTATTCATTGTTTGTGCTATTAAAATAAAATCTAAATAAAATTATTCCATATTTTTTTGCCTGATCGCCTGTGGACCGCTGCCCTCAGCTGCCCCGGTGTCATCATCTTTCAGTCTAAATATTCAAATATGCATTTCGAAGAAGAAGACAGATTAACCTGAAAGTTTCTGTCTCACTCTGTGTATCTCACACGGAAAAACAAGGGCACACTTCGGGCACACATATACAGAAGGGTTAGTTCTTCCACAGCTAGGAGGGAAAAATCCTGTATTTGAATATTTCTGTCACGGCTTGGTATTTGGCAGAGGGGTCTTCTTAATAAGATGACCATCTTAAATTATTTGTCGAATGAACCTTTAAAGTCAGATTTGAATTAAGATGTGCTCAGCTCAAAATATCAGAGTCGAACCAACTCCTTCTTTTGAGTCATTGATTTTAAAGCTAAATTAAGATGCCCACCGTACAGATATTTCTTCCTGAGAAAAGGGCTTGCCACCATTGTTTCTAAACCCGAGTCCCGAGGTATTTGGAAAAAAGAAAAAAAACAAACAAACAAAAAGATGGACTGTGTATGTTCAGCTACTGCTGAGGAAAAGTTTTCAACAGTCTGTGTCAGCCAGAGCAGCGCCCCGGGCTTAAGGGCTCAACCCCAGGTACAGACACTGCTTTTGGATGAGCGTGAGATTGGACCTCCTGCAAACGGAAGTCCACGTGGAGGGAATGAGCGTTCCAGGCAGCCCCCGAGGTGGTCGCACCCCTAGGTACGGGGCTGCCAACGAGCTGTCCGCACCCGCTGCCCACGCAGCTTGCAGGGCTGAGCCCTGCCCCATCCGTGGGAAGCCCCCACAACTCTGGACAGCTTTATTCGAGAAAGGAAGGCCCCCTCCTACAGTCCGGGCGTCCCGTAGCAGGTGGGCTGAGATTTTCCACTAGTACTTGACCTTGCAAAGAAAAAAAATTAAAATTCGGGAGATCAAAAATAAGCTTGTTGCCGGGATGAGCTCCCAGGACGCGAAATATCCGGATTTTTATCACGGCCCGCCTGAAGCTGTCACCCCGTTCCGTTCTGCCAGTGGTCTCAGCCAGCCCTGCTCTCCGTGTCTCTCAGTTCCTATAAATATCAACCTCACCGGTACTCCCCCCGCAGTTTATCCGTGGGAGGAGAAGCCGGCCCGGAGCCGCGGGGTCCACAGCGCGGCCGCGCATGTTGCGCGGAGAGGCTGCGAGATGCTGTCGAGGCTGCAGCATTCCTGTCCCACGGCCCCTCCGAGCCGGCCCCAGAGGTGGTTTGTGTTGGAGGCGGTTGGAACCTGGGGCGAGAACACGGCAGTTTCTCAAACTCCCTTTGAGAGCCCGCAAAACCGGGTGGAAAAGATGCGCACATGAAATATGTGTGTATTTGTCGTATATGAAACCTGTCCGGGGGGATATAGACACGGAATTAAATAAGGCAGCAACGATATATTTTCTCTCTTCGGTTGTATAGTTTTTCCTCACTTCTATAGTTTCAGAAGCCCCCTCCGAGCTTCTGGGTTGAGGAGAAACCATTTGTTACCAGATAGAGCAATGCAGCGAAGCCTGCCCTCGGAAAAGCGTCTCTCAAGCGTGATCCGGCGAAGATGCAACTAATTAACTCGCGTCTCTGTTTTCCGCTCATTTCTCTCCGGTAATGTCAGAGGCTTGTTGGGGAAGGGGGTGTTTCTCCTCTGGCCAGGCTCGGCAGCGCTCACCAGGAGCCACAGCCCTCTCCCGCCTGCCGGGTTGCTTCAAGGTTACCTTCACGAAGTCGTGCAGAAAATGCGGCTCCCAAAGTCCCACGGGATCGAGTCAAGGAAGAAAATAAGTGTTCCTCATTTTATTCGAGTTAATAAAAGCGACACAACTGCCACAATGGTGGGAAGCTTGGGTTGAACGTGGAGGAGCAGCTCTCCAGGGGGAAAATGCAGGTTTTTGAGTGAAAAACTGGAGGAACAGTGAGAAAGGAAGGAGACGTCCCGCAGAGGTGGGGAAAGCCCCAGTGCAAGCCTGGAGTGGTAACAGAGCATCCCTGGTGTTTCGTGGGTAGGTAGACTTCAAGACACCTCCATTTTACAGCAGCATCATTTCCTCTGGAAGGGCCAAGAGCTCAGTGCAAAAATCTATGCCCTCAGGACAGACTTGCTTTCTCTTTCTCTTCTTGCCAAGCCAGTTTCCATCATTTATTATTTTATCATTAGTCCTGGATAACCAGGAGTTCCCAGGTGACTGAAGGTTAGCCCGTGTGATGCTCATCTACAAGAAGGGTCATAGGTGGATCTAAGGAACTACAGGTCTGTCAGTCTGAGCTCAGTGCCAGGGAAGGTTGTGGAACAGAGTGTGATCACACGGCATGTACAGGACAACCAAGGCATCAAGCCCAGCCAGCCTGGGTTTTGGAAAGGCAAAATATTTTGCTTGACCAAAATATCTTCTTTTATGACCAGGTGACCCTCTAGTGGATGAGAGAAAGGCTATGAGTGTTTTCTACCCAGACTTCAGTAAAGCCTTTGATACTGTCTCCCACAGCAATCTCCTGGAGAAGCTGGCAGCCCACAGCTTGGTGCACTCTTTGTTGGGTTAAGAACTGTCTGGATGGCCAGGCCCACAGAGTGCTGGTGAATGGTGCTACATCAAGTTGGTGGCCAGTCGCTAGTGGGGTTTCCCAAGGCTCGGTTTTGGGTCAGTTCTGTTTAATATCTTTATTGATGATTTGGACAAGGGGGTCAAGTAAGTAAGTTTGTGAGTGATACTAAGTTAGGTGAGAGCGTTGATCTGCTGGAGAATAGGAAGATTCTGCAGAAAGATCTGGGTAGGCTGGATTGATGGGCTTAGGCCAACCCTATGGCATTCTATAACGTGAAGTACTGGGTCCTGCACTTCGGTCACAACAATCCCATGCGGTGCTATGGGCTGGAAGAAGAGTGGTTGTAAAGTGGCCCAATGGAAAAGGACCTGGGGGTGCTGGTCAACAGCTGGATGAACATGAGCCGGAAGTGTGCCCAGATGGCCAAAGACGCCAATGGCATCCTGGCTTCTATCAGAAACAGCGTGGCCAGCAGGACTAGGGAAGTGATCATCCCTCTGTACTTGGCACTGGTAAGGTTGCACCTTGAGTCCTTGTTTAGTTCTGGGACCCTCACTACAAGGAAGACATTGAGGTGCTGGAACGTGTCCACAGAAGGGCAACAAAGCTGGTGATGGCTCTAGAGAATAAGTCCTCCAAGGAGTGGCTGAGGGAGCTGAGATTGTTCAGCCTGAAGAAAAGGAGGCTCAGTGCAGAACTTAGTGCTCTCTACAGCTACAGCTACCTGAAAGGAGGTTGCAGAAAGCTGGGGTTTGGTCTCTTCTCACAGGCAACTAGTGACAGGACAAGAGGAAATGGCCTCAAGCTGCTCCAGGAAAGGTTCAGGTTGGACATCAGGAAGAATTTTTTCATTGAAAGGGCGGCTAAGCATTGGAACATAATGCCTGGGAAAGTGGTTGAGTCACCATCCCTGGAAGTCTTCAAGAAACAACTGGATATGGCATTTTGTGCTATGGTTTATTTGACATGGGGCTATTTGTTCAAAGGTTGGACTTGAGGATCTTGGAGGTCTTTTCCAACCTCAGTGATTCTATGGAAAGTTGTTTAGGGTGTAGAAGGGCACCCAGGAGGCAGGTATAGAGATCCCCTGTCCTGGCTGGGCAGCAGCCGTGGTCAGCCTCCTGACTTCTCAGGAAGCCTTTCATTGCCCATAACTTAATTTTGTTTAACTGAACATTTGTGAAGAGGTAAGAGAGAGGCAAACTCTCCCTGAGAGGTGCAGGCTACCTCAGAGACCCTCAATCCCCTACTCGTGTCCCAGCAGAGGTCCCCTGGGAGTCAGGAGTCACCCTGGGAACTTGGTCTTTCCTAGAGGCAAAGACCTCCCTGATGGGTCACATGCTCCATGTGAGTGTAGGACCACCCAGTGTCTGGCCTGCAGGTTGATCTGCGTGGCTCCCAGGGCTTGAAGGATAGCCTGAATACCAGTCTCAGCCTGGGCCTGGTGGGCTGCTCAGGATCCAGGCCCACACACTGACTCCCACATGGAAAGACTGAGCCATTGGAGTGGAGGATGCATTTCAGGCTGACCAGAGGAGAAAAACAGATCAAACCAAAACAACACTGATATGCTATTCCATCCTGCATATGTTCCTGCTGTGTATTTTAGTGAGAGGAGGGGAGGTTAAATGCTAGAGTGTCTGTGACCCAGAAAGGAAAACCCATTGAAATAACAGGCTACTGTGTGGGAATGCTGATGACTTTTAAAATTATTTTAAGCGAAGGTCAGTAGGAGGTGCCTGAACTATCTATCCCTATCAAGAAGTTTTTACAACACCTCTGTCTCTTGTTATTTATCCTCATGTTGTAAACTGAACCCTCATTATTCTAAAATCTTTCCCTCATCTAATGAAATTATCCTGAATGTCTTTGATGTAAAATATTAAATGGTTGCCTCTGCAAGACTGTGTTTTGTGTGTGTGCGTTGGGAGGCAAAGTACGCGTAAGGGTGCTTCAAATAAAAAATTCTCCAATATAAATACTTTGCCCCTGAAATTGTCAGTCAAAACCAGCAGGATCCTTATGTTCAGATGCATTACTGAGCAGCTGAATTTTTATTTCATATGTATAAACATTATTTGTTGATACTTCCTGCTCACTTAACATGGGGTCACATCCAGGGCCACCACTCCTCCAATCCACCTCCCCTGTTGCAAAATATAGCCTAAAAGACCACCATTATTGGCAAAAATATCAGACAACTGTCACATTACCTAACTTAGTGAAATCATAACAAAGGCTTCCATTAGAAGTGACATAAGATAAGCTGGAAGGGGTTTTCAATTCCACTTACACTTCTTTTCCTCTTCCTTCCCTGAAATGTCTCACATTCTCAGCATGTTTTGTGGAAGCTTGATTAAAGTCAGGAAATCTGGTTTTGTACCACTCATTCATTTCCTGAGGGGATATTAAACAGCAGAGGGCAAACAGGAATGCTTATTGTCAGATCTGTGAAAAGATATGTACTCTTTTCAGTTATTAGATGAATACGTAAATGTGAAAAACCTGAGAGTATTAGTAGAGACTGTTTTTTGTGTGCAACTAAGGAAAAGGGATAAAGAAAACGTATTTCCAATTGTGGAGGAGGACTCATGAACAAAAACCTGACTGTGTATCATCATATTTATCATGTTATTTATAAGATGTGGATTGGAAGAAGCATTTATTTGGGGGAAAAAAATCTATCCAACTATCCTGTGTATATTTATGTCTAGCAATGGACTATTAAGTATATTCAATATGTTTGTGACAGGTTTTATTAGGGGGGCAGAGGGGGAAGAGATCAGCAAGAGCTGACAGACAATTTCATCTCACAAATACGACAAAGTATAATTTTACCTGCAGGTTCTTGGCTGCGATTTTTTCATCCTATATCTGGATGTCCCTCAGAGCAGCAGCCAGGTCCGAGGCTGATCAGGAGACATCAGCACACACAGCAGCACTGCACATCTGTTTCATGAAATCTTCATTTGCTTATGTTGACAGAAACACACAGAGAGGACATGGTAAATAAAGCGATCCCCCCCACAGCTCCTGGAAAAGAAAGGCTGGAAAGCAATGTCAAGGGAAAAAAGCTCTGCCCTGTCTGCCCCCTGCCATGGCCCTGTCCAGGAAAACACCTCCCAGCTGGGCCTCCAGGGACATGGAGCCACAGTGGCATCCAGGTTCTCCAAGAAACAAATGAAACCACACATGGCCATCAACCCCCCTGCACAGTGGCTCCATGCCAGCCGCACGACTCTTGGCCTGGTAACGGGCATCCCCAGCATGCCTCAGTCAAAAGAAGCCTTTGCTCTTTTGCTCAAGAGATGCTGCAGGGCTGGGAAGGATCCCCCAAAGCACTGGGAGCCTCCTGGTTGCCATGCTGCAGGGAGGATCTCCAGCATGGCAGGATGTCCTCTTGTAGGGCACCAGAAGGGTGGCTGAGCAGGGCAATGTGCACCCCAGGGAGTCCTTGTTCTCTCTGGGTCTGTGGGGCAGGAAGGGTTTCCTCCTCCATAACTCTGGTACTGGTGTGGTCTGCTGTTGTGCTGTGAAATGGGGTCATGCAATATGAGGTCTGTCCTGTTGGGAAAAGGATAGTCTGGGAGTGGATCTGGCAAGACTCTGCAGTGCCAAGTGCTCCCATTCCAGCAGTGTCAGACAGCCCCCGCTGTGCCAGATACAGGGCAAGGAGAGTTGTTCCCTGTGCCCAGTGTGCAGTGGAGCAATGATGTTTATCATAGCTATGGTAAGTCTCCTGCCCAGTCCCCACTAACTATTTCCTGCCATTCTGCAGCATAGGATCATAGAATCATTTAGGTTAGAAAAGACCTTTGAGATCAAGATCATCAAGCACTGCTAAGTCCACCACTAAACCACATCCCTAAGTGCCACATCTGCACATCTTTTAAATACCTCCAGTGATAATGACTCCACCACTTCCCTGGGAAGCCTGTTCCAATACTTGACAATCCTTTTGGTAAAGAAAGTATTCCTAATATTCAACCTTAACCTCCCCCGATACAACTTGCAGCCATTTCCCCTTGTCCTGTCACTTGTTACTTGGGAGAAGATAATGGCTACAACCTCCTTTCAGGTAGCTGTAGAGAAAGATAAGGTTCCCCTGAGCCTCCTTTTCTCCAGGCTAAATAATCCCAACTCCCTCAGCTGCTCCTCATAAGACTCATGCTCTAGATGCTTCACCAGCTTCATTGCTCTTCTTTGGAGAAGTTCCAGCACGTCAGTGTCCCAAAACTGAGCACAGAACATGAAGTGTAGCCTCACCAGTGCCGAATATGGGGGGACAATCACTATCCTAGCCCTGTTGGCCAGACTATTTATGAAACAAGCCAGGATGCCATAGGCCTTCTTGGCCACCTGGGCACACTGCTGGCTCATGTTCAGATGGCTGTTTATCATGCAGAAGCCAAATCACCAACATGAAGTAACAAAATGCTGGTACAAAATCACAGCAGGAAAAAGGCAAGGGGTCAGGTAGAGAAAGATGGCAAAAAAATAAAAGAGATGTTCGCTGGATGTGATAAGCAGCACCATGAGATTTGCTGCTATTTTGGTTGCTCTAGTACGTTCAGTGAGGCAAATGACATGCTTCTCTGTTGTACAGCAGCTTCTCTCTCTGCTAGCTCCTGGGTGCTGTGCAAAGCTGTGTGTGATGCAGTTGTGGGTGGCTGGGATCTAAGGCATGTGCTGGCAATCTGATTCCCCTCTTTGTGACATTGACACAGTGGAGTAAAGTCTTTCTCCCATACTCTGCAAGGTCTGGATGGCTTCTTAGAGAAAGGTGTCAGGTCAGAGAGCCTCCACAGACTTCCCACAAAACTCAGCCTGTGGTTCCCATCATGTGTCCTTGCATGAAGGGAAAAGTAAAGGGTATGCAAATTATTTCTTCCCTACCTCCCTCCTTACATTCCTAGTTACAAACAGGGTCTCTAATCTAAAGTCTCTCTGGCACGTCAAGAAAGGTGTCCTATTCTGCCATCAAAGACATTTAGAAACATCACTGTCTCCATCTTATCCTGTGCATCTTCCCTCTTCATAGTTCCTAATTCATATCCATTAGCTGCACCATCAGCAACAGATCATTGCAGAGTCCTGTGGGACTGGGTCTGAAAAGCCTTTCAGTTTAAGCCCAATCACTAGGTGCTCCTTGCTGCTCCTGACACCCAGAAGTTCTTGGTTTACTGCTTTCAGTCCCCAGTCCCAGCCAGTTTCAAGGCAAAGCCCAAATGAATCACGTCTTGTATGCTTCAGGGACAGGCTCGTCTTTGCCTAACATATTCATATATTTATGAATATATGAATAGCCCAAAAGATGCCCAGAACTACATTAATTATCTTCCCAATTATTTGCTTAGTGAATATGTAGGAAGTTCCTATGTTAAGTTGGGCTGAACAGAGAAATTTCCTTGCTTATTGGTGATGGTGGTTGGCTGCCTTGCAGGATATTTTACTTCTGGTTCTGTAGACAGCCTCTCAGTTCAGGCTGATGAAGTCCAGATGCTTGAAGTGGTGGACATAGATGGAGAGAGTTTGCCCACTGTGAGGAGAATCCCTAAGAGCAAGCAGGCTGCTCTTCACATAGTATCCTTAGTGTGAATGGACAAGGCATACCTAAATTTCAGAGAACAGGTTTTCTCAGATGTTGCAAAAAGTAGTCCTAATGGGCTCACAGGTCTTGCCAACCATTAGCACCATGCACAACCTTCCCAGCAGGACAAACCAGGAGTTATTTCATCCTGCCCAGGATCTGCCCTGTGGGAGTGCTTCTTGCCACTATGATTGCTGGCAGAAACTCTGCTGACTTTTGTGGGTGTAGGGATGAATTTAAATTACAGCCTGTGTTCATGGTGGAATGGGGAGACCATGAGGGCTGCAGCTTTACTACAGCTACTGCCAGTTGCTGTCTGTCTATATGTTTTGTGTCCAGGCAGCCTTTCCCTTCCTGTCTACATTCTTCCCTGAAAACTGGGCTTGCAAGAGGGATGAGTACTCATCCCAGTATAAGACACATATTTGTCTCTGGGTGAGGACGGATATAATCCCCTGATCTAGGTTCTGCCACAGTAGGGTCCTCATTAGAATTAACCAAGTCAGACCATTGACTTTGCAGAATAGAGTGTGGAAACAGGCAACGGGCTTGGGACTGAGTTACTCAATCCATTAATTTTATATACAGTACATGTGGAGGACAGAGGATGAGATGAATGCAACTTCTGGCACCAGTGAACACAGCTTGCCTTCAAGACTCCAGGAGCTTCACCTTTATAACACTCTGGGTTAATTAGCAAATTAGGAAACTGCTCTGGAAAGCTGAGGCAATAAAGTGCAAAACCTAATGATTCAGACAGCAGCTTTAATGCAAATGTTCTTGGGTGAAATATTGACTCACGCTGGAACAAAGAGATCTGTTTTACTGCATCTGTGCTGGCACACCGTCCACAAGCTCTATACATGAGGGTCCTGAGAGCACTCTCAGCCTTGGATGTCCCTGCCTACTCCCAGGGCCTCCTCTCACCCTGCCCATGGCCCAGAACCCCTTCTCAGACCCCCCAGGGCCATCAGGCACTGCTACATGCTGCTAGATGGCATTAATGAGCCCCCTCCTCAAACGTGCATTGGGGTGTGATAGGAGCATGGACACTTGGTCTCCAACTGCATCGGTCCCGGCAGCCATGACCAGGGTCCCTCATCAGTGACTACTCACTCCCAGCCCTGCCAAGCACCAGGCAGGCTTGCTCACCTGGTGAGCAAGGTCCTTTTTTAATTATCTTGCCGCAAAACTCAGATATAGCTGCCCCAGTGACAGCGCTACTTGAAGAAATGAGGGTATCATCCCTCCCTCCCTGCTCACCCTGCCACTATTGCTACATCCTGCGGCAGTGCAGGTATAGGCACCCACAGCTCCTGCTGTGATCCCACCTTGCCAGCAGTACGTGCACTGATACATCTCAGATGATTGATACGTGATATTGATACATCTCAGATCCCACTCAGAAGCTGAAAGCCACCACGGGAAAGGGCATGAAAAGAAAGTTATGAAGGATTTGGGCTCATGTTCTTCCTGTTAATATTTTAAGTTTATAATGATAATATTATATAATGATTAAAAAAAATATCTCTAGAGGCTCTCTCCAATGAGGAAAATTCCAACACGGAGCAAACTGAGCCCTGAAACCTTGGGAATATGTAAGTTAAAGAGAAATTTAGGTGAGGTGGAGACAGCACAGGCCAAGTAAGCTCTTGGTCTTACTGGGACCTTACAACTGGGAGAATCCTGATCCTGAATTTAGACCTCAGTGGTTTTACACTGACAAAAGGGAGGTATAGATTGGACATAGGGAAGACATTGTTTCCTGCGAGGGTGGTGAGGCACAGGTTGCTATGGATGCCACTTGGCCCAGGGAAGCTGAAGATGCCCCATCTCTGGCAGCACTCGAGGCCATGTTAGATGGCGCACGGACCAACCTGGTCTGGAGGAAAGTGTCCCTGCCCGTGGCATGGGGGTCAGACTGTATGGTTTTGGAAAGTCCCTCCCAGCTCCCAGCCCAACCCAGTGCGTGTCCCCGTGCCAGCCAGCGGGGATGCGGGGGCCGGAACCCGCGCACGGGGGAACGGTTGGCAGTGCCGCGTGTTGCCGGCCGGCGGCGGCGGCGGCCATCTCCTCCTTCCTGCTGTCGGCGCGGGGGTGGCGGCGCTGTGGCGGCGGGGCCGGGGCATCGCGGCCCGGGCGCCTCCTCCCCGCTCCTCCCCGCTCCGCTCCGCTCCTTCCCATGGCCGGCAACTTCTGGCAGAGCTCGCACTAGTGGGTGCCGCGGCCGCGGGGCGCGGGGCACGGGTTTTGCGGGCCGTCCCCGCGCTCTGTCCATTCATTGCGGGGCCGGGCGGGCGCGGCGCTGAGGGGAGGCCCGGGGCGGCCGGGCAGCGCCGGGCGGGCGGCGGGGCCTGCGAGCCGTGGCGCCCTGCCTAGAGCCGCGCTGGAGTGCGGAGCGGCCCGAGCCGGCCCCGCTCCGCCGCCGCTTGGGAAGCGTTCGGGCGCTCCGGGACAGGGGTCGCGTCCCGGTGTCCCCGCCCGCGCCGCCCGGGGCTCCAGCGGCGGGTGCGGGCACTTGGGGCCTTGGCACGTTTGTCCCCCAGCGGTAGGGCAGCCGGTGTCAGCTTGGGTTGGACATTAGGAGGAAGTTTTTCATAGAAAGGGCGGTGAGATACTGGAATGGACTGCCCAGGGAAGTGGTGGAGTCACCGTCCCTGGAGGTGCTTTAGGAGAGACTGGACGTGGCACTTAGTGCCCTGGTCTGGTTGACAAGGCGGTGTTGGGTCATAGGTAGGACTCGATGATCTCACTGGTCTTTTCCAACCTAATTGATTCAGTGATTCTGCCCTAAAACTCTTCATGCTTAGTGCGTCGAGGTTTGAATAGTGCCCGTGATGCACTGACTGCAATTTAAACCTTGTTAGTGACTGACGGGGTATAAGAGCTGCACAGCCAGCTCAGTTTGCTACAGGTAGAGTCTGATCTTAGCCCTTGGTAGTTTGTGGTTTTGTTGTTTTGTTGTTGTTTTGTTTTTTTCCCCCAGTTGTTTAACTTTGAAAACCCTGGTGAATGTTTGCTTGAGAAGACTGTGTGTGGCTTGGTTAAAGGCTAGAAGCCCTTTAGCCCCGAGCCTTAATTCATAGTCTGTTTGTACAGGAGACACTCAGTATAATGTTGATAAAGAGTTGCTGAAATTATTTTCCATTCCTTTAGCTTACAATGGATTTTGGATAAACAAGATCTATTGAAGGAACGCCAGAAAGACTTGAAATTTCTAACTGAAGAAGAATATTGGAAGCTACAGATATTTTTTACAAATGGTAAACCCCTTTTTTTATTTCTGCTGTAAAATCCGTGCAATATCTGCCATGTCTAAATGCAGGCTTGAATTGCTTAAAGAACGTAATGTTTTCCTTGTGATATTACATATACTTTCACAGCCCCTTTTGACAAAGAACTGCAATATAAATAACATCATAATTTTTTAGTTATACTAACAGAGTTCTAGGAGAACTTACAGGCAAATTAGCTGCATATATAGCATTTTAACCTGTGATAGAACAAAGCAGTAAATTTTCTTATTTTCAGGAGTTTCTTACCAAAAACATAAAAGGAGGAGAAGCAAACAGAAACTGCTAAGCTCGCATACTAAAAACTCCATATCATGCATTAGTGCTGAGACTAGGCTTTTGGTGGGTACTTAGGCTGTGGTAAGTATTTTAGGTAATCTGTGCAATCCTGTTAAACAGCAGAGCTTGGAAACTTGTTATTTGTATTCGGTTACATTCTCTGAAACTTGCAACACAGCCTGTGTTTTGCCTTCTGACTGGTTCACCAGCACCAGGTGGCTCTCAAATTGTCTACAAGTTTCTGAGAGCTGTTGGCAGGCAGCCTGTTCTCCCAAAGAATCTGGGACTTGTCTGTGAAGTTATCGAAGTCTTACTTCACCCTACATAGTCTTTAACCATCCATATGAATGGCCACATATCAGATTGCAAAGGCCCTTAAACTCACTCTTTTCTGTGCAATTGTTCAGCGTATAAATAAGTATCCCTACACAAAGGATATTGCTATCTATTTGTTTGCAAACAACTCTTTAAATGTTTTTTGCAGCAGTCCTTTAAAGTACAGAATGCTTGTTTTTTCAGGCCAGACCTGAGACAGAGAAGTGAAGTGACTTTCCCAAGGCCACTTGAAGATCTTATGTCAGTGCTGGAATGATATCTGTGAAAGATACTTATCCCAGCTTCTCTCTCAGCTTAGTTATTTTTGTAACAATTGCATATGCTGCCAACACTGTCACTGTGGATATATCTGTATTATTGCTTATATTGCACAAGGAAATCAAATTAGCAATGATTTACCCATTTGATCCATTCCTGAAATTTCTTGAGGTTAAAATGAAGCGTCATAGCTTCATAATGCAAAAAGAGACATAAAGAGGATATTTTGAAAGCTGTATTTCTCCGCTAATTTTCACTAGTATTAATTTGAATTATGAAATATGCCTTTTAAATGTCTCACTTCAGTGTTTTTCTTAAGTAAACAAAGACTTACAAAGTAAACAAGTTAGTTTGTTAGTGTCAGTTCGTGGTTCTCAGGGTTCCTGTTCCTTGGCACTCCCTGTCTCCCCTGAAGGTGCAGTGAGTGAGCAGTGGCAGCTGGAGAACAGCTCTGCCAGCAACTCCCCATGTACGGACACAGCCTGCTCTGGAGGAGATGGTGGTGCTGGGCTTTACCCCTTCCGAGCAAAGAGAGACACCTTCATGGGGAGGACAGTCAGGGGTGCTCTGTACTGGTGGGAGCTCAGGCAGCGCTTGCCCTGTCCAAGCCCTTGAGGTGTGTTCTATCATCACCTGCCTCTGAACAGGAATCCTGCTTTGGGTCCTCCCTTGTCTCCCATCTGCACTACCTGAGTAGGGATATGAGTCTTGGCCACAGCATGTCACATCAGTGTGTGTCAGCCCAGGAGATGATTGTTCCCTAAAGCAATCAAAAAATTACTTGGAGAGGGGCAGTTTCCTGCTGCTTCGTCATTGGTAAACAAGTGCAGTAGATCATGAACTGATTTTATGGCCATGCACAGCTATTCAGAATACTGAAGAGAACTAAAAAGATCATCTTCTAAAGTAGTTTGAAAAATGAAGCTGTTGATTTCTCTCAAGTCTTGTTGATCACCAAGTCTTAACAGTTTTTCTCTGAAAAGTGCATTAGTTGTTTTCCCTTTCTGATTTTCGGCAGAAGCTGTAATGTTTGTGTTAAAGGGTACTCAAAATATTCAGATTTAAAACAGTCTTTATTAAAAAAAAAACCAAGCACTGACGCCACTTATTTTAAACATACAGGAATAAATAATCCTATAGTTTCTTTTCAAATATTAAAAAAATAATTACAAGTATTGGACTTTTTCCCAGCATATACAAGCTTCCATTTCATTAAGTCTCTCTAGGCTCTTGTCCATTTTTTTTCCTAAACCACACTTGATTTTTTTCTTGACAGCAGATGGACTAACTGTTCCTGAAAATCCCATGGGAGTAGGAAACATATTTGGAGAATTCTGTTTAGCTTAATGTTTGAATTTTTCTGATGCCCTAGTAGTAGGACAGCTTTTTAGCCCCATGGTCAAATCAAAGGGAAAAATTCTTTCAAACCTGCTGATAAATATTTTAGTATTTGTACAGACATTGCATACTGCGCTTAACATCCTTTCTGACGGTATTGCTTGACTTACTGTCACTGGCAGCCTAGTCCCAGTTTGGCATTCTTCACTTTAGAAGTTTTGACATAGACAGGGACTTAATGTTGCTTTGGGTGACCACAGTGGATGACAAATTAGTCAGGTGTACCCTGACTATTCCTGGGGCATATGAGGTAAGAGCATGGGGAAAACACTCTGGACTTGAGTGCTTAAGTAGAGATTGAGAATTTAGTGATGACTGATAACAGAATTTTTTGGTTTTCCTGCCAGTGGTCACTGTCTTGGTCTTGCTGTACATATTTTAAATATATACTTAAGTGTATTTTAAAATATTGTTTTTGACATTTCTCGTGGGGGAGGAAAAAAAAGAAGAGGGAGCCTTCACACAGCCGAGCCTTGCTCAGAATAATGGCCATGAAGAAGAATGGGAAAAATAACAAGTAACAACCTTATGTTTCACTGTGCCATTCTTTATATCCAACCCCTGCTCTTAATCCCAGCTTGATGCATCTGATTTGCTTGGCACCTTTCCTTTGCCTGGGAGGCCAAACAAGAGCTACCTGCACAGATGACACCAGGGTTGTTTCTTGGCCAACTGGCAGAGGACCACCGTGATGGAGCAGCTGACTGCATCCTCTGGTCTCCCACCCCCTCTCCCTAGACTAAATATGTCATTTTTTTAACACCTGCTGCCTCTGCCAAATAAAATGACCATGTTTTTGTTGGCAGCTTCACTTGTTTGAAAAAAAAACCCATCCATTTTGCATGGCACTGAAGAGCCATAGATTTATATTTTCTGTGTTTGAATTTGTTTTGCTCTAAAGTGGAATACCCAAGCTTTACCCTTCTGAGATTTGTGTTGTCATCTTCTTAAAGGTCATACTCACTTTGTACACAATGAAGTCAAGTTACCTTTCCCTTTTTGAAGGTGTCCCCAAGCTTCAGGAGGCAGCGGTTCTTCTTCACTTGTGGGTTTGTAGGTTTACAGCAACATGTTCTCACCAGAGCTACGTACCTGAACTGAGGGAGAAGACTGTGCTGCTGCTCCTTAGAATCCCCAGCACTAGTCATGTTTTGAGACCCTTTGCTATTTGGTGTCAAATTGTTTAAAAAACTCAACTCAAGCTTTTGTTCATTTTTTTTTAAGTTATCCAGGCTTTAGGTGAACATCTTAAATTAAGACAACAAGTTATTGCCACTGCTACAGTCTACTTCAAGAGATTCTATGCCAGGTAGGACTGTTTACTATGATGGTACAAGAATAAAACATTTGCTAGGCACATTTTGGTAGCCCTTTAAAAATGCAGTACTGTATTAAAAACAGTGCCACTTTTGTTTTCTGGATGGTGTAAAGCTTTTATGCTTTAATAAAGTTAACTTAAGCTTTGCTTTTTCAAAAGGAAGTGTGGTTCTCTTAATAGATTAATCGTTCTACGTGTATGAAACAACATATTATAATTTTGTTGTAACATTTCAGAT